CTTATCCTGACCCTGTCCTGGGGCTCGGGGGGTCCCTTATCCCTTATCCTGACCCTGCCCTGGAGCTCGGGGGGGTCCCGTTCCCTTTTCCTCACCCTGCCCTGGGGCTCGGGGGGTCCCGTTCCCTTATCCTGACCCTGCCCTGGGGCTCGGGGGGTCCCTTATCCCTTTTCCTCACCCTGCCCTGCTGTCCCGGCAGTTGGGGGACCGGCAGCGGCGGCAGCGGCGGCAAAGGCAGCGGCAAAGGCAGGAGCTTTCGGTGAGCTCGGGTGATCTCTTGGCTCGGGGAAGAGCCGAGCATCGACACCAGGGGCTGTGTGGCTCCACAGCTGCCCCAGCAGCCCCGGGCCCATCCTCGGGGTGCTCTCCCTGCCCCCTGCCCCGGCTCCAAGAGCTTTCCCAGGAGTGATGAGGGGCTGAGGGGCCCCTGGGGACGCAGCAGCTGGGATGGGGCACAGCATGCCCGTCACACACGGTGTCTCCAGGAGATGCGGGTTTGCCAGATGCCAGCGGGGTGACCGGGGACACGGTGTCTGTGCTGAGCTGTCCTTCCCCACTGAGGGATGCTCCTGGTGATGCAGATCTCCACTGCTCTCCTCCTTGGCTCTTCCGTGGGAGAAAAGTGAGGAGCAAATCACACCCTGGAGAATTCAGGGAACACGTGCCAGCTCTGGCTGTACAGCCACAGACTGGGGGACACTGGAAATCCCAAACATCCAGGGTGGCCAAGCCCCTGATGGCTGCAGAGAGCTGAGAATCAAATTCCCGGGTGCATCCCAGGGTCCCTGTGAATCTGCTTTAGGATGAGTGAGGAGCCCACCACAAAGCCAGTGCCCAAGAGACTCCTGTGACCAGGGCAGACCGTGTCCCCAGGGCTGGCAGAGAGGGGTGTTTGTGGGGTGTCTGACCATTCTGCTTCCCTCCAGGTCCAGGGGCCGTGCCCGGAGTCGGAGGTGTCCCTGGCTTGGTTCCTGGCGTTGGAGGTGTCCCCGGGGCGGTGCCTGGTGTCGGAGGTGTCCCCGGGGTGGCAGGTGACTGTTCCAGGAGCCCTGTCCCCATGGCCTGGCTCTGTGGGGCCATGGTGGCTGAGGGTCCCTGTCTCTCTTGTCCCCAGGAGTGCCATCGGCAGCAGCAGCAGCAAAGGCAGCTAAGTATGGTACGTGCTGTGTCCCAGCCCTGGGACCCCTGCCCACCCTGACACACTGGGGGGGCACGGGGTGTCCCCTGAGGGGGAATGGGGAATGCTCAGCCCAGCTCCTGCCTCTCCCAGCTGGGCCTGGCTCCATCTGCAGGGCAGGACCTTCTCCCTCTCTGGGGTTTCTCCAGGCTGTCTTGTGGAAGTGAGCATTGAGCCCCAATTCATGGCTTTGGACTCATCTGAATTCTCTGCTGGGGTCTCTCCTGGATGAGGCCATGGATGCTCTGCTCTCCTGGGCACAATGACGAGACAGAGCCTTGGCAGGTCCCACCTTTGAGCTCCTGCTGCAGCCAGCTCTGATTTGTCCCCTCTTGTTCCCGGCAGGCGCCGCCGTTCCCGGTGTCGGTGTGGGCGGTGTCCCCGGCCTGGTGCCCGGAGTCGGAGGTGTCCCTGGCTTGGTTCCTGGCGTTGGAGGTGTCCCCGGGGCGGTGCCTGGTGTCGGAGGTGTCCCCGGGGTGGCAGGTGACTGTTCCAGGAGCCCTGTCCCCATTGCCCGGCTCTGTGGGGCCATGGTGGCTGAGGGTCCCTGTCTCCCTTGTCCCCAGGAGTGCCATCGGCAGCAGCAGCAGCAAAGGCAGCTAAGTATGGTACGTGCTGTGTGGGACCCCAGCCCTGGGACCCCTGCCCACCCTGACACACTGGGGGGGCACGGGGTGTCCCTGGATCACTCCTGAGGGGGAATGGGGAATGCTCAGCCCAGCTCCTGCCTCTCCCAGCTGGGCCTGGCTCCATCTGCAGGGCAGGACCTTCTCCCTCTCTGGGGTTTCTCCAGGCTGTCTTGTGGAAGTTGAGCCCCAATTCATAGCTTTGGACTCATCTGAATTCCTGGATTTTGTGCAAAATCTGTTTTCCAGCAGCAGACCTGGCACAAGATCTGGTGCTCAAGGGTTCAGTGTTGCTGCCAGTAGGGCAGGGATTCCTGGCAGAGGGGCCCTCGCCCAGGGTCACTGCCCTCCAAACTGTGTTGGAATTGGTGGGATGGTGGGATCCATCAGGTATAATCACCCGCAAAGAGCTCAGTGGAGATGAGGGACGTGGCCAAAGAGCAGGGCAATCTGGAGCCTGGGCCCAGGGAGGAGGCAGAACTGGCCCTGGGGTTCCATGCAGGACTGACTCGCACGTGCTGCTTCAAAGAGCAGAGCCAGGTTGGTGCCTGGCCAAGTCCCAGGACTTTCTCCTCCACTGCAGAGCCCTGGGAGTCCCCAGGAGGAGCCATGGTCAATGGTAGCTCTCCTTTGAGGGTAAAACCACGGATGTCCCCCCCTCTTCCATTTCTCTTCCACACTTTGTAGGAAAAATCCCTCCACATGCCCAGGGAAGGATGGGATTGAGGAATTTGGGAAGGAACTCGTCAGTGGCTGCTCCTGCTGAGCAGTGTCCCATGAGGAGAAGGCTCTCTAATGCTTCCCTTGCAGAAGTGACCTGTGCTTGTCCGTGTGGTGCTGTGTGTGCCAGCAGGCCCCGGCTGTCGGTGCCCTGGGCAGCTCCCCAGTGTGACCTGTGCCCTGTCCCAGTGCTCCCAGTCACCTGCTGGGGGGACACAGCCACCTCTCTGCGGCCTGTCCGGCTGCCAGGCGTGATGTCCCCATGACAAGGAGCACCTGGGAGCACCTTGGGCCCTTGTGAGGATGAGGGTCACTGCGGTCCCCTGCTGGGGCCAGCGACTTCCCGGCAATCGCTGGCAGAGTCACGCGGCCGATCCCCGCTGGGGTCTCTCCTGGATGAGGCCGTGGATGCTCTGCTCTCCTGGGCACAATGACGAGACAGAGCCTTGGCAGGTCCCACCTTTGAGCTCCTGCTGCAGCCAGCTCTGATTTGTCCCCTCTTGTTCCCGGCAGGCGCCGCCGTTCCCGGTGTCGGTGTGGGCGGTGTCCCCGGCCTGGTGCCCGGAGTCGGAGGTGTCCCTGGCTTGGTTCCTGGCGTTGGAGGTGTCCCCGGGGCGGTGCCTGGTGTCGGAGGTGTCCCTGGGGTGGCAGGTGACTGTTCCAGGAGCCCTGTCCCCATGGCCCGGCTCTGTGGGGCCATGGTGGCTGAGGGTCCCTGTCTCTCTTGTCCCCAGGAGTGCCATCGGCAGCAGCAGCAGCAAAGGCAGCTAAGTATGGTACGTGCTGTGTGGGACCCCAGCCCTGGGACCCCTGCCCACCCTGACACACTGGGGGGGCACGGGGTGTCCCTGGATCACTCCTGAGGGGGAATGGGGAATGCTCAGCCCAGCTCCTGTTTGCTCCCAGCTGGGCCTGGCTCCATCTCCAGGGCAGGACCTTCTCCCCCTCTGGGGTTTCTCCAGGCTGTCTTGTGGAAGTGAGCATTGAGCCCCAATTCATGGCTTTGGACTCATCTGAGTTCTCTGCTGGGGTCTCTCCTGGATGAGGCCGTGGATGCTCTGCTCTCCTGGGAACATGATGAGACAGAGCCCTGGCAGGTCCCACCTTTGAGCTCCTGCTGCAGCCAGCTCTGATTTGTCCCCTCTTGTTCCCGGCAGGCGCCGCCGTTCCCGGTG